AAATGGAGTGGCATCGTCTTCTGTCACAAGCTGTGTTCACGGCACAGCAGGGGCTTCATCCATTAGTCTGTACCCTCTGCAGCAGTACTGTGGCATAACATGTTCTTGACTTGCCTTTTCTGAACAGATAGTTCTCACCTCAGCCAAAGCTACATTAAGCATCAATTCAGATGACACTGTAATCTCTTGGAGTCCATACAAAACTGTAGAATAGAATGTATTTTCTTCCTCCTTAGAACCTCAAGTCAAATCAACAATTACTTTCTAGTTTATTCTGATTGCATTCTGTTTGATCTATTTTTCTCTAAGTTGTCAAACAGCCTTAGGCCAAAATCATTGTTCTGACCTAAACAAGGAGATTAGGGCAGCACTGTTCTAAGCTGTGTGAAAATGCAAAGCATGGACAGGGTGTAGCAATTGCCAGCATCAGATGAAGTATAGGTGGCAGCTGAGTAGAGAGTAAGACAGGCTGCTTATTTCTCCAGATGGGCACTGGAGACATTCGGGTGGGAGCGTTCTCTCTTTGTGGGGACGCTCCGAGATGCAGGATGTGTCACATCTTGGCCCCCTCCCAAATGCCATAGCACCCTTCTGCCATCGGAAATACTGGGAGCACCAGTGAGCCATCTTCTCAGTTCTGCACGTATTCCTCGGGCTTGGTGCACAGCCCTCAGGCCTGTTGGCTGGAAGAAATGTTGGAGAAGACGAGGTAGAAACCAAGGACACACTAGGAAACAGTTCTCTGGGCTTAGGAGCCGGCGCTCTCCCTAAGCAGGAGCAGTAGTTATTGACAGTGATGTCCAGAGAGAAAACTTCATGCCGCCCTGATGCTTCATGCACAAGTTCGTGGCACGAATGGGAACAGTAAAAAAACTGCTTGCCAAATTATGGTGGAGAAAATGATCAAGGAATATAATTTCTGCTTTCATGTAACTGTCACTTGTTGCCATCCATGCTGTATCTTTCCCAGAGCATGAATAACTGCACTTGATTGACTCCTTCCTGAGTTCCCAGCTGTTGTCTGTTCTTCATGCTTCACAGACTTCCGCCAGGAATACACGCTGGGATCCGGGAGATGCAGGCCCCTGCTTCCTGCTCGGCACCCTGCCTCTGCTGGCTTATTCGTCCACCACCATGCTCTCGCTCGTGCTGTGTCCCTGCCCTGGTGCTGTGAGGAGCAGAGGCTATCCCTGTTACCATTTAACAAGTGCAAACACCAAGGCTCAGCAAAGTTGTTACTTGGCCAAGGTCACACTGCTTCATTAAGGATGGAACTGGCACTTACTACTCCACCATTTCCTCCCTTTCCTTTTCAGGGACCGAGGGAGGAGACCAATTTGATTTGTCCTCTTTGGATGTCAGAACAATGTGTCTTTTTTTACAAGAATATTTTAAGCTTTTCAATTCCAATCTTCCATTGAGACAAGTTCTTTATTCTTCTGCCAGTGAATTGTGACCTCCTGTCAATCAAATATCTCTGTCTCTCTTTAACCCACTCTACTCTTGGCTTTGTAAGTTGTCTCAGCAACACAGAGACTGTGGTCCATGTTGTCTGATATGTTTATATAATGGGAGAAGCTCTTCCCATGGCAGTAGAAAGTTAAAGATTTTTGTAAAGTAGGGAGAAGTTATAACATAGCCTACTTTTTACTTTTTTAGCATTCTGAATTTCTGTTCAGTAGGTTTGATGATTAGACATTGACAGAAGAAAGCTGTGATAATACTTCTCAGAGAGATCACAATTTTAATTAAAACTAAATCTCACTGATAACATGATAAGCTGTGTTTAGATAGTAGTTGTACACAGAATGGGAATAATTTTTTTTTGATGTTCATGAAATTATAACAAATTGGTTGAGACAAACAGTACATAGGATGCAGTTGTGTTTTCTGAGGTCAGATCTTTTTCTGGCTTCAAAACAAGAGCGTAGCAGGAGAGCTGATCTTGTGTTCTCCCAAATACAACTGGAAAACTGTGAGGGTGGTATATTGATATCCCCAGCACTTCTGACAGCAGAAGGATGCTGTGGCTTTCCACAGAGGAGCCAAGATATTAAACCTCCACTGGTTTGTGAGACATCCCATATAAGGAGGCAGTGCCCTACCCTAAATACCTCTTGTGTCCCCTGTTGAGAAATGTGTGGAACACAACCACTTGATGGTTCTCAGGGGGACTTCAAGGTCGTGCTTGCTTTTACTCCCCCTCCCAAATGCCAGGGCACCCTCTGTCATTGCAAACATGGGAGTATTAGCAAACTACTCATTGCAAACATGGGAGTATTAGCAAACTACATGGTTATGCATGCATGTGATCCTCCAACCAGTTTTTACTCAATTCTTCTGCTTAGACCTAGGGTTGCCACTTCCGCAGGGCTTTCTCTACCTTGTCTGTGCTCATGTGGTATCTGCCCTCACATGAGCTCCCTGCCTTGTAACTCTTCCTTGCTCTGAAATTTTGACACTCCCTCAACTTAGTAAATAGACAGTGGGTTTGGTGGTCAGATGATCATCCTTCCTTAACCGCTGAGTCCTGAGGATGAGCATCATCTAGCGCGACTGTTTCTCTAGTCAGGCATTGTAACTGCCTTCACCCAGGGCAGGAGGAGAAGGCAGGTGTTGGGTATCTTCCATAGATGGCCAGGCAGAACTGGCCATGCTATGTATGATTTAATAGACAGGATGCTGTTTGTGATCGTGACTACACCATTGTACCTAGAGAATGTTGGCAAAGATAATCAAAGGTTCCTTAACAATTCCTGCTTTGGAAATTCTATAACATGTCCCTTTCTGAGAGAGGCACTTCAGTACTGTTCATTACAGATGTGGGTTTTAGAATTGCAAGTGTAGGTTCAACTTTACCTTTATAAGCCCTCCTTGCTGGGGCAAGTTGTTTAACCTTTCTTTGCATTAGTTTTTCATCTGTAGAGTGGCTCTAAGCTTTAAATAAAGCATAATACATGTTTTTTAAAAAAATGCTCAACCTCATCGGGCATGGTGGCTCACACCTGTAATCCCAGCACACAGGAGGCTGAGGCAGAAGGATCATTGTGAGTTCAAGACCAGCCTAAACTGCATGGCGAGACCCTGTCTCAAAAAGACAAAAAAATGCTCAACGTCTAATGCCCAACACAACAGAAGCTAACACTCAAATTATAGTAATGAGTGTCCTAATTTCTTCTTAAATACTCCATCTAGTCTCTTACCTTGTTTAAGCTCCTTTTAACTGCATGTGAGCCTAGCTATGATATTACCAACTATTTTCTAGTATGTTTTTTAAAAGACCAGCATAGAAGGGCTGGGGATTTAGCTCAGCGACACAGCGCCTACCTGGCAAGCGTGAGGTCGTGAGTTTGATTCCTAGTACCGGAAAAACAAAACAAGACAAAACAAAAGACCAGCGTAGCTTATCAGATTCTCTGTTTGCTCAGGGAAAGACTACCCAAAACAGATTTCTGTGGGATAAATGAGACAGCCTGAGTAAGGTGAAGTGCATTCACCCGAACTGACAAGATTTGGTGGAAAGAACACCTGCCTGTCAAAAGCTAGGGCTTATAAACTGCTTCATTGCCATATTGCCGTGTGACTTTATATAGGTCATTGAACTGTTCTAATTTCCATGTCCTTCCTCTGTAAAAAATTAGGAGTTTGGGATAAACAGTTTATCACATTCTTTCCAGCTGTGAAATTTTTGTGATTCTGTGAATGCTTAGGTGATGCAAGAAAATGTCTGTCCTGTTGTTGCCTTTGTTTTTAGACTGCAGACCTAGGAACGAAAGCAAGCAGTGTGGTTTTCTTTCTCAGGCCTTCCAGGAGGTCCTAGGTGTCGTGGAGTTGTAGTCAAGGATGTGTATTTTGCAGGTGCTTTGTATGTGAACACATACTAAACCATGCCACGCGTTCTTCGTCTTCTGCCGAGCACTTGCTGTTACTTCCTTTCAATTTTATCTTAACCTTGACCCCTGGCTTTTGCCTTTTGGAGTCTTTTTTGTGCTTGTTCTCAGAGGTGATATATTAAATAATAAGGTCTTCGGTGCCTTCACCCAAATGTGCACTGTCATCACCTGGCCATTGTCACGGGCCAGAAGACAGTGGATTTGATGCGTGGACTCATTCCTTCCTCCAGTGAATTTTCACTTTCTGAGCTTCTTCCCAACCCCAGGCCACCTCCACAGGCCGCTTGGAGTTCGACTCGGAATTGTTCAAGCTGTAACTCTGCCGTGTGACTCAGTTTCTTTGCTATGTCAGTTGGTTGCTAATCTTTATACAAATCTTAGAAAGCTACATCTCCCCCTGCCTCACCACTGGGGGATTAAGCCCAGGGCATTTACACTAAGCTACATTCTCACCTACCTGCCCTTTTTAGTCTTGTTTTTGTTTTTTTTGTTTTTGATTTGGTTTGATTGGTTTAATTTGGTTTTGTCTTGTGTTTTCTTTTGTTTTGTTTTCAAGATACAGTCTTGCTAATTCTCCAAGTTGTTCCAATTGGACTAAAACTTGTGCTCTTCCTGCTTCAGCCTCCTAGAGTGCTGGGATTACAGGTTTGTGCCAGCACACCAGCCTAACACTCTAGGCTTTCTCCCTAGAAAATGCCAGATAGGTGAGGAAAGAAAAAGGATCAGAGAAAGAGGGCTATGAAAAAGCATCATTATTCAAAAAAGCAAATTGTTTAATACATCTGACATGACTGCTGCAGGAGGCAGTGGGTAAGGGAGAGTTTTGGTAGTCAGATCTTAAGGGTTGGAAGGACCTTGTGTCAGCTGTTTAGATTGTGTCTCATAGATCAGTTGTTGGTTACTTTGATTCATGGCCATTATCAGGGAATAATTAACCTGAAGAAGGTGATCTGTCTTCTTTTCAGAAAATCCATGTTCACTCAAAGATTGTGGTACAGTGTCATCAGGTTCACAGACACTAGCCCCTGCCCCTACACCATCCTTGACTTCTAAGGTAGGAACTTCGGAAATAATAGGAAGCAATAAAAGATGGATGAGGCATGGTGTCATTTTTGTTTTAATTTTAGGTATAACATACACAGTAAAGCACACATGTCTTGGGGATACAGCTGGATGAATTTTTGTGCAGATTGCACACCTCTAAGTAACTACCACCCACGTGAAGATAAAAATATTTCTGTACCCAGCAGTGTCCCTCATGGCCCTCTTAAGATAACCAGTACTCTAACCTCTGTCACCATAGTTTTACCTGTTTTGAACTTCAAAAATGGGATTATCCAGTTTGCCAACTTTTGATTGTGAAATTGATCTGTGTTATTACATAATATTAGCTATAGCAGAAGGTTCTCCTCTTTTATTGTATTATTTTAAAAACTCAGTGGCTATAAAGTAGCAGTGTAACTGTGGAGGCTAGGTTGGAGAGGGCCCTAACTGAGATAAAAAGGTGGGTGATGGTTGCCGTTGACCTGATGGGAGATGTGGCAGACCGACTTAGGCTGCAAAGTGGAATGACAGTGAGGAACTGCTCAGAAGGAGTCTTTGAATGCATGGAAGTTTGTTGGTTACTTGGTAATAGAGGATGAGAAAGAGAGAGGTCAGTTTTCTGGCGTGTATATAATAAAAGGTTTGATGAGATCAGTTTAGACACCTTAGGTGTTAGGTGCCTGTGCACATTTGCAGGTCTAGGTGAATTCAATAGAGAGGTCAGAAACAAAGATTAAACCTTTGAGCGGCATCAGCTGATAATGGAATAGGAAGCCCAGGGAGTGACTGTGATTGCCTAGAGACAGAGTTTGGAGGGAGAAGCAGCCAGGAGACGGCCACTGAAGAGCTCCAAGTCTTCGGGAAAAGGGGTGGAACAGTGCAAGCAGGAGAGACCCAGGGAGAAGGGGTAACAAAGAAGTCCCGCTGTGAAGGTGGGGTGGACCGCAAGAGCCTTAGGTCAGAGCTGTCTCCTGATCCTTTGGAAGTAGAGGCTTGAAGCTACTACCAATGGGGAGGTCTTGGAGAGCACTCGTCTGCTACCCAGCCAGCCCCATTCACTGCCCTTGTTTCTGACTTGGTTTCTCTGGTTCTCCTCCTCCTGTGTGTAGATATACGCCTGTCTTTTACAAGCAGCTGTTAGATTCTTATGGGAGACCATGTTATTCTTCTCTTTGCAGGTTGAAACCTAGCTGGGTGTACCTTCTACATAGTAAGTCATTAAGTGTCCAAGTTGCTTTTGTTTCTAAGGCAGCCCTGAATTAAGTGACCTTCCCTGATGAACCCACTGGGGCCTCCTTGGGCTCTCTCTTGCTGAAGAAGCTTGTGCTCAGCCACCAGGCTGTATGCCTGCCTTCCTGCCTTTTGGCAGGGAACAAGAATGAGTTGAAAATCCGTCTTTGCAGAGTCTCAGGGGCAGCAGAACCACCTCTCAGAACGTCGCTGTCCTCCAGCAAGCGAGGCGGCTTCTTCCCTTATATAAGATGTGTGTGTTCTGGCAGGGAAATGCTGCCTGAGTGAGTATTTAGCAAAAATGATTTGTGTGGAGTTATTTTGAGACCCCAGGGGAGGGAATGGCAGCCAAACCCTGCAGTATTTTAAACCACATCACTCATCTACAAAGATTAATATGCTACCGCATCTCAGCCAGAACATTGGTAAAAGGGAAATAAAAATGTTAGGGCCCCCAGCAAATTATAAATGCCAGTTCTCTCTGTCCACACAAGGTGATTTCGGTGGTTTGGATCAGACTTAGTACCTTAAGACTCTCATACTCTTTCCTGATCCCACCTGCTCTGCAGGTGCCAGGCAGATGGGGGTTGCCTTCTGCAGTGATGGCCTGGCTCTCCCTGGAAGAGCAATTTGATGCCCCTCTCCCTGTCTGCAGGAGGAACAAGCAGGCTTCAAATTAGAGAAGTGAGCCCTCGTGCTGTGGAATCCCGGGATACTGACCCCTAGTGAGTGAGCTTCTGGAAGTTCCAGGCTGGCTAGGAGAAATGCCCTGCAAAGCACTCACCTCTCCTTCGGACTCCAGCACGAGCAGCTGTCTGCTAAGGCTGCGTGAGTTACAGAACAGAGGCCTTTCCAGCTTAGTGACATTAGGGGAGACAGCCTCCATATGAAACACTTCTCTTGTTTTTGTTTTCTCATCTCTGTTATGCTGTGAAGTCTGCCTCACTGCTCCCCGCCTGCTTGCTGACAGCTGTCCTCTTTGCCATTCAGGAGCTGGTGTCTCCTAGGAGGGCGGCTGGGGTGGAAGCGGCCATCTTCTTTTTCTCCCCAGCCCACAGGTGTAGCCCAAGCATTTCTTGTGTCTAGAGATCTAATTGCCTTGTGAACTGGTGTGATCCATCTGGGCTGTAGCGTGTCCAGACCTTGATAGATTGCAGGGGGCAGAAGCCAGAAAGAAGAACATCTATCCAGGACTGGCCACTCTGATTTTGCTTTGTTTTATGTTTTTAGAGGACATAATTACTTTAATGGCAAAACCTATGGAAACAAAAACATATCGTTATATCAAATAGACAATCAAAACCATATGGCTTCTCAGATCCCCCCAAATTCCTACAAGGACATGCAGCCCTACATGTTTGTTTATAATTTAGGCACTTCGTTGTAGGCCTCTTGCATATACCCCAGCATCACTGTAGTAGGGAGATGTGGACAGGGGCACACACAGCAGAAGCATTGCTTGTACGTGTGTGTGTGTGTGTGTGTGTGTGTGTGTGTGTGTGTGAGAGAGTGAGAGAGAGACAGACAGACAGACAGGAAGGGAGGGAGGGAGGGAGATCAAATCCCCTCTGCATCTCTGAGGAGCCAGTAACTATTGTACTCAAAAGAGCTTCAGGTGACATAGTTTCTTTCTGTTTGTGACACTGGACGAGAATGACCTGCAGAGAGTGGGGGTCAGATGCCATGGAGCAAGAACATGGAACATAAGGCCAGCATCTACCCAAGCATGCAGGTTGGTAAAAGAGATCAAGTCTACGCCCTGGGGCTCCGGAGGCGACCAGCCAGGGTATATGCACCTCCAGGTCCCTTGCTGAAGCACGAGTGGCTCCTCCCCTTCCCCGGGACTAGACGCTCCGTAAGTACAGCTGAATGGGCCATCTGGGCTGCCGCTGTTCCTCTCCACTTCAGATAGTGGTGCCAAGTGTTTGTGCCTCTTGATACTGCAGTAGGCACCACTCGAGAGCTGGGGTCTTTAGGATGCTGCTGTCTCCTACCTTAGGCTCCTTGATGTGATTGCAGGCCTCAGAGAGCCCGCTACCATGTCTTTAGCTCCTCCCTTCTCTCTTTCCCTCCTCTTCATTTTCCCCTCCCCTCTCTGCTTTGCCCTCTCTCCTTGGATTAAAGCTTGTACACGCTCTGTCTCTTCCACACACACACTGGGGCTTCTGTGCACACTGAGCACCATCATCAGGGTATGTGCTCAATCGAGAGCTTCCCCTAACCTCCTGGATGCTCTGACTACTTCTCCTCTGCCCGCCCTTACTAGGTAGGAGGCCTGGTTTCGGCGGGCTCCCACCCTCACTGCCCATCAGGAGTGGTGCTGTGAGTACACTGGCGCTGACATTCATGCTGAAAGATGGACACAACCTAATGGCTCCATTAACCTTGCTGTGTAGCTGCAGGGAAACCAGAAAGCTAGTCTGTCAGCCACCTGGTTTTCCCTCCCGGTCCTCCCTTCTCCCTCTTTCCAGTGGAAGCTTGTACCCGGTGTCACAGTTCAAACCTAGGTTCCTCGGTGCCCTGTTAGCATGTGATGACAGTAGCTGCTAACCCTTAGTAGTGTACCCCGTGCCTTCCCTGTCCACTGGCACAGAGGTGACTGAAGAGTCCTTGCTGCAACATTGCATCTGCGGACAGTAAAGGATGCAGAGCCTTTCTTTCCCTCAGGTTTCTCAAACAGAGGAAATAGTCACTTCAGGGGCTGGGGATTTAGCTCAGCGGCAAAAGCGCCTGCCTGGCAAGCGCAAGGTCGTGAGTTCGGTTCCCGGTACCGGAGAAAAACCAAAAAAAAAAAAAAAAAAAGAAATAGTCACTTCAGTAGAACAGTCTTTCCCTGAATTCTGCAAAGTGGATTTTAGGCAGTGGTTTGGATTTGCTGTTCCTTTGTATCCCTGAGAGCCCACAAATGAGAGAAGGAAATGAATAGACTGCTTGTCACAATACTGCCAGGGTCTCCTCAACGCCTGGGGCTGAAGTAGCCTGGAATAGGGGCCTTGGTTGCAGGAAGCCTCCAACCGGAAAGGCACCACTTATCCAGTGTCTCTGGAGGGCTTCCCTTTCCTGCAGCCCGGGGCTTCCTCCAGCACTAATGGAGCAGCTCTATCACCGCATCATCCTCCCTGGAGGAAAAGTCTGACCGTGCGGCTCCGGGGAAGAGCAGCTCTGTGCAGTCTGTGCAGTCCTTCCCTGGCTCTCCCCCACAGAGCAGCACATCTCTCTGCCTAAGCTCCCAGCAGTGGCTCTCCACAGTGCAGAAGTGAGGTGCACCCCTGCACAATCCATGACGCTCTGGACCTTTGTAATTAGGTCAACTAGAGAAGTATCTCCAGGTTGAAGACTTCCTTTATATTACGTAAGCTTAAAGAGGAAAAAAGAGTCAAATAGTAGGAAATCAGCACTTTGTCTCGTGAGGACTGGTTAGCCCAAAGAAAATAAGGTACGAGGATGACAAGAAATAGATGTTGTATCCTCAAGTATTTGAAGGGCTGTCAGATGGGTAATGGATGCTTTATATGATCCCAAGGAATTCGGCTAGATCTCAGAGGGCCTAGAATGTCAGACTGTCGAATTTCAATTTTATTTGGAGAAGTATAGCAAGGCACTCAAGGGTTTTGAGGAGAACATGTGCTTTAGGAAGATTATTCTGGTAGCTGTGTGTGTGAAGAATTAGTACAGGGGAAATGGAGGGCAGGCAGGGATATTGGAAAACGTTTGGCCACATGCGCACAAGGCTGAACAAGCAGTTGAGTTCAAGACTGAGAGAAACGACTGGAGGTGAACTGAGTGGAACTGTTAGTGCATGGTAGTCACTGGATCTGCAGGCAGAGTAGGAAGGATTAAGGTCGAGCGAGGTCTTGCTGGCAGGATGGTAGTGCTGGAGCCAGAAGAGGGCATTCAGGAAAAGGGTGAGGAGAAGGGGACTTGGGAGGAAGAAGATGAATTTGGTTTGACAGGATACCAAACAAGAGCATTCTGAAGACACTTGGAAATGGGGTCAGTATCTTAAAGAGTAGTTCGGGTCTACATGTCTGTGGGTTCTTCATGACCCTCATGATAGAGAAGGTGAGAACAGGTGAGCCTGCTGTAGGATAGCATAGTCCTGAGGACAAAAGGAACGGCCCCAGGACATGGCGGAGGGCCCAGCAGAAGAGAAATTATGCAGCCCAGAGTGTAGGACAGCAGTAGTGAGAAGTTGAGGGTGGAAAGAGGCATGCCAAGAGACTGGTGCACTGCTAACATTTAGCAGGACTAGAAGGGCGGCCTGGTACCAAGCCCAGGAGCAAGGACCTGCATGACAGGTGTCACCTCTAGCTGGTATCTCAGGAAGCAGGAGAAGCAGCCCCGCCGAGGTACTGAGCAGCAGCACTCGCACTTACTGAGGCGAGAGGGTATTTGGAATGGGGAACCTTGAGTGTCTGGGAAGTGAGTGAGAATAACAGGGACAGTCACAGCTCCAGGGAAGGGGTCATTATAGTGCAGGGCCCAGGAAAGAGAGGTGAGGGCACATATCTGCAGGTGGCATCGGCTGCCTGGGACAACTTTCCCTTTCCTTTGCCTTCTAGGTTACAGGTCTAGACGTTTCCAGTATTTTTATTAGTATTAATTAATGTACTCTTAGGCTGAACCTGATACTCTAAATCTGGGGAGTTGAACTCTCTGCCTTGCAGAGAAATATATATGGTTTGTTTGTTTTTTTTTTTAAATTGGCTCACTACATCCTTGGGAACAAGAGTTGGCAAATGTATTCTGATAAAGCCCAGACACTAAAATATTTAGGCTTTGTGGGCCTTATACTGTCAGTCACAACTATCAGCTCTGCCTTTGCACCATGGAAGTAGCCACAGACAACAAGTGAGTATGGCTGTCTTCCAACAGACCTTCATCCATAGACGCTGAAATTGGAATCTCATAAATTTTCGTGTGTCACACAATATTATTCTGATTTTTTTCAAAAATTCAAAAAATGTAAAAATCCTGCTAGCTTGTGGGTTGCGCAGCGACAGAGTGTAGGGGGCCTTAGTCTTCAGGGTGTCGTCTTTTGCCGACCCCAGCGTTGGTGTGTGGGGTGAATCTGCCAGTCTTCCTCCCAACCCCAAATTCAAACTGCTTCTCAAGACCAGATGTGCCTGTGCGTCCGAGATTGACCCCTGCTGTTCAAGAGCCGTGACTCTTCAGAACGCCTCTCCATTTCCTCCCCCTCTTTTTCCTCTTCCTCTCCCTTTTAGCTCCTTTTCTTTGAAGTGAAATCAGTAAGATAAGGGTTCTTACGAAGAGTTTCTCAGCTGTTACACTTTTTATTCATTCTTTTGGTTCTTGGGTCCTAGTATGCCTGGCACTGGCTGGTATTTTCTATCCCCTGCACTACTAGCTAATTTCTAGATATTTGGAATGTACTTGCCTCAGGAGGAGGAGCCCAAAGCAATTTTCTTTGAGTGAAAGCTCAAGAAAGGCAGTAGTTTGGAAGTACACTCAGCACATCTCAGAACCATTTTGTTCAAATAACACAACACAGCTTGGTTTAGAAAAAGTCACTCTAAATTTATGTAAGTAAGGAGCTTTTACATTTGGCTGCCAGGTGTGTGCCAGCGCACCTTCTGGAGGCTTGTACTTACACGGTCCACGTGAGCCTTTCCTGTGGCTTGCTCCCTGCAGAAGCGGATCTCTCCAGGAGCCTAGACAGGAGATTCAAATCTCTCTCTTTATCCATTAACATGGAATAAAAAAGACCAAGATTCGGAACCCTTTGGTGCCGGCAATGAAGGGGGAGGGGTTTCTAGGTTCTATTTTATTCAAAGATAAAGTTCCATGTTTAAAATAAACCAGAAAAAGCAAAGTTGAGTTCTCATAGAAACCAACTCCCCCTCCTTGTTCAGATGCAAGGCTTGTGCTTGTTAGGAAGTGTCTCCACAGAGCTCCGCTGTTACATAAAAGCCTGAGCCCTGCTGGAGTCTTCTTGTCATTGGCAGCACCATTGTGGTCCTAGCTTGGACCGCAGATTCTTTGTTTTCTGTTTGTTAATGAAGATGGGAAGTTTTTGTTTGAAACGGATGTGGAGAGAAACTCAAGGGAGGACAATTTTGGAGGGCCCCCATCTTTCCTATGCCCAGTTGTTGCATTCTGCTCCCAGTTGACAGTGACATTGTTGCAGCTGCTGCTTACAGCAAGCCCCACGATGGGCATGTGTGTGGGGCAGCTGCCAGCCTGCCACCTCCCGCCCCTTCCCACACACCCCCAGAGACAGCTTGGTTGGGTTCTTT